GTACCAGTGTATTTGTTCGCAAACGTGTTGATTTTCTTAAACTCATGATGGAGTGCTTAATTTTTGTCTTGAACTAGAGAAGAATAATTTTGCACCTTAGCCTTCGTTCTCTCTTAAAATACAAACTGATCACCATATTTCCACGGCTTTACTCTAAAAATATCGACGATACGATCAGATAGAAAGGGCATCCAACTGTTGAGGGTATATTTCTTATTTTAGAGATTCACATAGCATGTTCTCATAATTCACATCGAGTGAGTTTGTTTTGGAACACTCTACACTCCTTCCCTCTGGTAAAGGCGCTGGAGTTATCTGGCTCCATGAAGATCTCGTGTTATTCAAGACGCCGTAATACTTCTTGAAATCATATGCATTCCTCCCATCCAGTTAAGAAGCTGGAGTTATCTGGCTCCATGAAGATCACGTGTTATTCAAGACGCCGTTATACTTCTTGGAATCATCTGCACTCCTTCCATCCAGTAAAGACGCTTGAGTAATCTAGCTCAATGAAGGTCTCGTGATATTCAAGACGCCGTAATATTTCTTGGAATCATCTCAGGGGATAAAACGCGTCCAGTATTTTTGTCTGGTACAACTGGAAATACTGGACGCAGACTTCGATTTTTGATCCAGAGTGAGGTACAGGTGTAATTTTACTCAGTAGCCTGTGATCGATCTACAGTGTGTCCTTACCTAAGAAGTGCACAATGACACAAATGGTTACAAAAACCTGTTTTATGATTGAACTAACAACCAGATAGATATCAATGCAGTACACAGGCTATATTGTTTTGTGACGGTCAAACAGTCATTGATAGATTACCACCAACTAAAGGAGCCCTTGCACAGAAAAGCATGTACCAAGGTGGTATCGTTTGGTGCCAACTGTCCAATCCACGTCGAAAAATGTATATTGGAGTTCATTACATGGGGCTGGCAGTATGCCAAGAATTAGTTTAAGTGTGGATGCAAGCTAAAATGTGATCCTAGGTGCACATGTGACAGAAATGGATTCATATGCGATGCATGCACAACAATGTGCACTGCAGATACCATGGTCAATGCAGGTAATCATACTAAAAAAGTGGTGAACATAAAGTTGAGCCTTGTTGGACTCCATTTTTTACAAAAAATGGTCGAATGACTTGAAATGCATATGGATAGCTAATAGGTACTATTATTAGTCATATTTGATCAGTATTAATTGACTAATTAAATGATGATATTATTCAACATTTGTGACTTTTCAATACATCGTGGCGGTAATCTATTTGGTGAAAAATGGATTGCTTGGTGCCACTTCAGGTTTTCAAAAGGAAGGTATAAAGTTTTGAAATTCACCTAAGATTGCTTCTATGTATTTTTGAAATGTTTTCACCCAACAACTTACACTATGACTAAACAACATAAGAGAATACCTCTTGTCAACTCAACTCTACGCTATAGCAATCAAAATGTTCCTTAAGCTTCAAAAGAAAGATTATTTGAAAAGTAGAGGCAAAATTGACAAGGGTATATTAACAAAGGGAAGTTCTATCAAATATTGGCTAGTTTATTGCATTAACTTTGTGGACTGCCCCTATAAACTTTACAGCTGATAATTACAATTAATGAACAATGCTCAGTGAAATTTTGGTGTATTTTGGAGGATAAATAAATACAATAAACGAATGTTCCAACTTTTTGGACCAGCCAGTACTATATCCCATTTCTCTCGGTTCATACTACATAGGCTACCACAGGTATTTTGATCTCAAGTCATCTGACACGTTACACAATCAGTTTAAGCCACGTGAACATGTTCATTCTTGATGGGGCTTTGTGGGACAATGCCCTTTGAGACCCCAATCGAGTCCGAGGACCGATGGGGTTTCTTAGTTGTCCAGTAATTCCTTGCACTGCAGTCTTTGATCTCTTTCTACTTTTATCAGGCAGAATATTAGAAAAACTACACAAAAACATAGTGTTGCATTCAGAACAAAGTACCACCGAGTGCACATTTCTCCGTAACAGTTTTTAGATACAGTACTATGGGTTTCGTAATTAAACCCAAAAAGCGTCTGAAATAAAATCATTCCTATTCCGGGGCTTATCCCTATTAAACCGATGTTTTGTCCAAAGTGTTTCAAACCAAAAAATTCAATGGCAACTACATTAGTTTGCGATCGAAATGTTCCATAAGCTAAAGCTAGTATCACAGATGAAAAAATTAAACCATTCAAGCATTGATTTAAAAAAGTGACACAAACTGCACTAATACACAAAAGTATTCCAGGCAGTAAAAAGATTGAAGCTTTCGGAACATCTGGCCATTTCTGAAATATTAAACCTGGTATCACTCCCCCAAATGATCGCCCCAATGACATACATATTGGTATTACTACAGTGAAAATAATTGCATATCTCTCGAGGTGGGCAGATTTCAAAACTATTGTGATATTATTTGTAAAAGATTCACCGACTCCTCCATATACTATGCAAATTATAATCAAGTAATAAAATTGTATTGTTTTAATTATTTGCCAAACGTTCATCTCTGGTTGCGGTGGCCTATTTGCCGTCTTTGGAATAAGTTCAGTTCTATCGTGCATTTTCTTCGTAACTTCCGTCGGACCATTGCTATGTTTATCAGAGTTTGCTCGATTCTCTTCATCAGGTTTCACAGTTTCCCCTGGTACTATTTCAAGTAAGAGGACGCCACATGTATTTATAAAACTTGATAAAACAGCAAGCATCAGCATATATTCTCCAAGTTTTTGATTCTCTGCATCTTCAATATGCCCTTGTGCGAATAATCCATCATAGAGGGCGCTGAATATCGCAGGGCTTATGCCGTTTATGATACCAAATAATGCAAGTACTTTACCCACATTTTGTTTGTCAAAGTTCTGGCAGTTCACAACTTTCGTTGCTAAGACTAAAAATAAGGTGCCGCCCAGTGCGAGAAAGTAGAATAAACATAGAAGCCAGCTCTTTGTTGCGAAGAAAACCCTATATTTTGTTGCTATCCATATTAGCACAAAGCCCGCGCTCGTACTGATAAGTGACACAGAACAAGTCATCCTTGGGCCGAACCTGTCAAACACAACACCCGCAGGAAACCCTAAAAGTATGGCCAAATTACCACTTGATGCTATATTTTCTAGCTCAGTCTGAGTATAGTTGAAGGTTTGTTTGAGGGCAATCGCATATACGTTAAATCCACAGAACACTGCTCCGCCAAATATCCAACTTAATATCCCTATACATAAGGAAACATATTTTGCGATACAATGAGTTCCAAAATTCATTATTTAAAATATCCTAAGTGCGTTTTCCCTCTTCAGTTTTTCCTAAGCATTTACGAGTTACCTGCAAATAAATGTTTATTGATTAAGATCGTATCAAAAGTAATATGTCTATTAATCAAAATACTTTTAATCTGTTGAAATGAACCACTCAGTCACTTTCTTCAAACCCAAAAACGAAAAAAAACCGAAAAGCATTTTACATATTTCAATTCGGCGAGTAATGTTTTATTCCAAATTATGATTATTAAGTACCAAATCATTTATAGATAAGTATTCACTTGTTCGGTTAAATTTTGCTTTGTTACTTTGTTTTGATGCGCAATATAGTTACTAGTCTTGCCTCAAGACTGTGGACGACCCCCCCCCCCCCTCATCTATTTCTCAAACACATTACTGATGAAAAGAAGATAGGGGACCAAGGTCTTGAAGCAAGGCTATATAGTTACAATTACCTTTCAATAAGTGCTCACTTTTATCCTATGCAATTTTAAAATGACCACATATAGTTCTATACTGGTCAATTGTATGCGATTAATTTTTTACGAACCTTTGCCCGTATAGAAACGTCTATGCGGTGAATTAGAAATTTTTAATTTTCTTGCTCATAAAACATTAATGATCTGCATAAGAAATTTTATATGGATTAATTGAATCCTTGTACAGAAATTTCTATGTGAATGCAGTCAAAATTTTAATTTTGATACTCATGAAAATCGAATGCCTGGTAGGCCAAAAATGTTTCTGCTTTACATTTCCTTATGGACATCTCTATTTATTGAATCCTTATGGGGATGCGAAAATTAAGAAATGTACAAATCAAATACATGAATTCAATTGCCTGCATAT